CAATCCCACAGGCTGCTGAGGCATTTGGGAGATCGCATCTTGCATCCCCTCACTTCAGTTAACTTTCAGCAATTATTAATGTACATGTGTGGGGTATATTCACCTTACAACCAGTAGACTCTAGTAATACTCAGTCAAGACTTTATGCTCCTTGCCTGGTCCTCACAGAAACTCGGATGCACGCAGCGAAATTGTTCCAAAGCAGCGCCACTAATTATTTAGGCTTGCTCTATTTGATGTGCTGTGGCACTAAAAGAGTCTCGCCGCATAGCAGTTATTATGGGTCCTTGATAGACGTAGATACCGAGGCTGTGGAGCTACTGGGCTGCTGTCAGCTGCATTACCAAACATGTGGTGTATGGTTTAAAACTGTGTTGATTGCAGAACGGGTAAATTCACACGCTTGATCTTAGGGCTGTTGCAAATGTTGCTTTTGCCGTTTTACCTTGTTTTCCCAACAGTCGTTACTTGCGCGTCTGCCACACTAGCGCAGGAGAAAGTACAGTCGATTCCATGTAGCCATCTAGCTTCTTAACTGTATAGACTACTTGCTAAGCACATGCGTAGTAGTCAACCCATAAGAGCTCCTTTTTTTTCATGTATTGTAGTTTTCTGCCTCGCCGTTTGGAGTGATCCTAACGTGACAAAACAAACCCATACCTGTTTTGCTCACACTGCACGAAAACCTACAGATGCTGATGAAGGAGCTTGCATACGCGCAAGCTGAGATTTATGCGCCGTATGCAAAGTTGGTAGGCCCTCACTACATTGATTGAACGCACTAGATATAGACAGTTTGAATCAAAGTCAGTCAAGAACACAACTGCAGGCTTCTTTAGCCAGCAACAAACTCTGATCTGATTATACAAGTAAGTCCGGTTCGCCAGATATGAACACGGGATTGAGTTGATTGAGCGCAAGTGCCGCGCAGACTTTGGTTCTCGGGTGTAAGGGGCATTGGTGCATGAGTGGGCTTCAGCCATCGCTTTAACAAAACCCAAAGCAATCGCTGATAATTAACTGCCAGAATGAAATGTTGGTGGTATGCGTTGCCGATTTATATTTCCGAATTTGAAAAGCACTAGCTGAGCTTACTTTTCTTTAAGTCAGAAATGGAACACGTTAAAGAATCACGAACTGGACACTGCTTTAAGGATGCTCGTAACACCACTACGCTAATTGACTGATCTGGGCTCTGTAACATTTCGGGGATGCTTTATAGACAGCCTCAGGTGTAGTTTTGTAAGGGCAACTCGTAAAGGACATTGAATACAGACTGTGGTATGCTTGTAGCAGAGTACCATGACGCCTTGGTATGATAGATATTGCTTGCCAGCTCGCTATACTCAGCTGTGGGGTTCCAGGGATGCGCCCCCACAGTCGCCCTTCAGAGATACTACAGAGTAATTCGTATAGCTTATTGTGAATATTTGTACAAAAGTGAAATACTCTAAGTTATCTTGACCAGATCTCAGCAATTGCATGGGGGAACTGAGGGCTTTCCCCCACTTCTCATCAGCTTACAGGGCCTACGGTGCCTAGAGTGATATGGAATCCCATCACCCCATCGTGTGAGGGAACTTGGATCCCTTCAACGATTCACAATTGTGTTTTTCATCTGCGTTTGTGTTGTCGTTGGGGCCACAAGACGCAGAGCTGCTGGCCGGGATTAGTGCATCTACTGACGTGAGTGGGATCAGGTTCCGAGGGCCACATGATCCCTAAGGCCCCGAACTCCCCTTAGACTGGCGTTTCTGAAGGGGAGTTTCTCACAAGAGCCCTCAGTCCCTCACATGCTGTGCTGTGATCTGTTCAAGATAACGTAGAGTATTTCCCTCTAGTATAAATATTTGCTGTTAGATTTACGTATTAGTAGGTTGTATCTCTGAAGGACTACTATGGGGCGCATTCATAGAAACCCACAGCTGAGTATAGCGAGCTGGCAAGCAATAACTGTCATACTGAAACAGCAACATAACAACTAACAGAGGTTAAAGGAAATTAGTTCCCTCAGCTTCTTCTCCAAAATTGTTCTCTCTCCTGCAACTCCACTAGAGCAGGCACTGCGGCCTTTGGGGCTGGGAGAGGAGACAGCGTAGCATGCTGTAACACCTATTGCACCAAGGCTCATGCCAGCCTCTCCTATAGTCATACCAATGATCACTTCACAAAGAACGCTTAATGCATTCACCAACGTTATACTCAATGTGCATCAATAAGCACTCACAGACACTTCCACTATTCATGCAACCCTCACTTATTTCACAACGAGCACGGCATGGTTGCCCTGATTGTAGTGAGTATTCACTACAGAGACAGTGTTTCCCTGTCTGGCTGTGTGAGGCGGGTCTGCCGAGGCAGCGGCGAAAGAAGGAGATCCGGCCGCAGCTCTGAGAGCTAGTTAAAAGTGTTAGCGCGGGGCTCAGGTACTAGAGCATCTTCCTAGACGCCCCGATGGCGGCTCGCCTGCGCCAGTGGATGGCGGGTGCCCAGAGTACCCGCCTCCTGAGTGGGCTGCTGCGGGTATGTAAGTGGGCAGAGTGAGTCCCTCCACGAGATTTAGACAGGGAAAGTGTGGCGGCCCGTGATAAACGCACTCACCAAACACCAGAACAGTTGTATTCGTTCTGCCCTAATCGTTGACACTTGGGTGCTTTCTGGCGTCAGCCTGCCAAGGAGAGGGCAGATGGCGACCCCACCCGATTCTCGACAGGGACGTACCTCGAAGAGATAGGCAAAGGCGCGCATCTTCAACCTCTTCATTGCCGGCATATCTCTGTGCTACGATTATGAGGGTCAGGTGAATAGCCAGCACGCGCCGTCCTAGAGCTCCGCGCTGTGTCCGATACGTCGTCTGGACCACTGGGCGCGGCCTGTAAGGGCCACCGGTAGGCCACACTCTGGGGGTCCTGAATGGCCGGTCTGCCCGAACGCGTGGGGAAGAGATCGTGACAAGAAGGGTTATTTTGCTGAAGACTTCGTTGATCAAGCATTTCCGCTCGAATCTGTCGAAGCTGAGCTCGGAGCTTATCGTGCTAGGGCGTCTGCTGCTACTTTGTTATGATAGTTCCATCTACTGGAAAGTAGATACACAAGTCCCTTGAACTAAGTTTTGGTGAGGCATTGCACTCGATTCCGCTGGACGATTCGGAACGGCCGAACGCCTGTCATGTAATGCCCTGGTTTCAGCCGGGCATATACGCATCAATGAGTTAGTTGTATTAGTCTCGCTAGAGAGAAGACCTCGTTAATAGATAAAGCATTAGAGTTGCATGCGAACCAGTTTAGCTGCAGTCCGTTAGAGCGGATTATCGCACAGTACCCATATCTGGGAACAACTCGCGAAGCGGGTGCAACCAAACCCACTGGCTGGGTACTGCGGACTAGCCCAGGGAGCAACCCAGCGTGCTTAACAGTTAATAGCACCTCTAAACACCAGAACTTTGTTGCTCATAATTTCTGTCTGTCAATTCCGAATGTAACTAATCTCCGTCCCCTACATAGTAAAGTCGCTTGGTCCGCCCGCACGTACAGCTTAGCAACGCTATCGAGCCTCGTTGGCCGCATTTAGGTGAAATCGTTTGTATCCCTTCTACTTCCCCTATTATAAATACGTTGTTCTATCAGAAATGGCTTTATTTATCGCATTTTGAGTTTCCTGGAGTGTCGATACCTCTCTCTCCAGTTGATGCTGGATGTGCCCTGCAGAACCCCAGGGCATCCCACCCACCCTGAGGCGCGGAGTAATAGCCAACGCTCCAAGCAAGCCTTTGGGCGGTTTGATCACAATGCGTAAATTTAGCCGCAAATAAACGTATGTATATACTTGAAGCGGCAGGTGACGTGAAGAAAGTCAGTGAATTCACTACGAAGCAGGTCCGTGAAGCACGGGGTACCAGTGGCTCCCCCACATTAACCGCCAGTTCGATATGGTACTTAATCCTGCCCTACATGCACACATAATATCTAGAAGCTTGAATGTTTCATCAAGTTGCAGCAATAACCACTCTTCTCATCACTATTTACACTGTTGAGCGTAAACGGGCGGGGAAGCTGGGGCTCGTAGGGGGCCACGCTCCTCTAGGCCCAGCCACAGCGGGCTCGACTCCTCGTGGAGAGCTCGCGACTCATTCGCTTCTTCACATCATGTCTTTTTAAAGATAAATGGGATATGTATATCTGCTTGATTTTTATTTGACGGCCCTTTGAGACCCGTCGCAGATCCACCAGGGCTTCTGGCCTGGTCTTACGGGCGGGCTATGCCGTTCCCGTGGCATTACACGTTCCGCATGCTTTCAGTCATCACATGGCTTTGAAGGCGGTTATAAAGAGCTTTAGCAAGGTTATTGTGCTTCCGCTATAGCTCTGCATGCCATTGAGTGTGCTGCTTCATCTTAACAGGGGCTCGGACGCTTTGGTCGGCGTTCGGGTTCGCTGGCATTTTCAAGCGCTTGCCGGCCTGCTCGAGGGTTTCAACAGTGAATTGTTGATTTTTTGTTGCTTTTTAGTGTATTTTGCACACCTGTGTCCTGCTTAATCCTCAAAATTTCACCTGAAGGACTTGAGGCTCGCGGACGACATATCGATGCTCTGAAGATCGGAGTACCGGGAACAGCACTTTTTTCTTGTTACGGCGAGCTTCCTTCCATTGCGGGGACTTGGAGGACAGAAAACAGTAAGGTAAGCTTATTAGGCTTAACTCATCTCCGTTGTGGGAATTAGAGGGATTCATGGCGTCGATACGCTAAAAATTGACGCTGATCGCTTGTGCCGAAGGCATTTTATCATTGCCTCTCGTTCGCAGGGAGACTAGCAGAGGTTATGTCTTGAGAGGTACGAGCATAAACCATCGCTTTCGATATTTTTGGGGGGAAGATGATGCAACCAGACGAGCCAGAAGGCCACCCTGCTCAGGAGTCGAATTCACCCTCGATTGCACAACCTGTTCCCATGACGAACACAGGCAAGTTGCACCTATAGCATCCGTTCTCCTTCGAAGGATGCCTTCGAGTCAGCTTCACTCTGTTTACTCCTGCAGTGGGGCATGTTGCTGATTCTCTCGTCGAAGGCGGGACCACTGTTTATCCGCCAACGATGTAAATTACAGTCACGCGGCCCATGGAGCTAATACTGTGCTTGTGTGTGTACTGGGTTGTCTGCAGATATAGAAAAGAACGCTTCTGGACTGACAACCCCGCCAGAAAACTCCGGCATTGTTGATACAGAACCAGAGTCAGTTCATGTTGCGGCGAGACATAAATGCAAGAAGACGGAAGAGTCGGTGGATAGTACTTCCCCACGAGGGAGCCGTAAGGGCGGTTCTTCCGTTGGAGTATCTCCTCGAAATGCAAAGAGAAGTTCACGCGGTCACCAGGGAAGGTCCTTTCGGGGGCACCCGGCAAAGTCCAGGTCCCACAACGTGACTGGCTCACGGTTTCAACATCGCGGCAGCCCAGCTTCTGGAGGCAGGGCTTCACAGGAGCGGCAGAGACAGCAGCCAAAAGACGAAAAGGAGACTCAAGACGGACATCAGAAAGGGAATAGGGAGGACCATTCCCAAGACAAAAGTCAGCCTCCTGCCCCGGATGCGCTGCCGCCCTCCGCATCGTTGGAGGTCCGCAGGTCCACGTACTTCAGCATATGTCTCAATGCCTCCCCTGACGAGCTAACCGTGGTGTCGTACAACTTGAACATGGAAAATAGCTGGGGGGTTTTCGATGGTAACTGGAAGAGACGGGAGGCTGCCCTTCTTCGCTACTTGCTTTCTTTAGATGAGACTCACCACCCCGATGTACTTTTGATTCAAGGAGCGTTTTCCAGCTCTACGCAGCGTCTTTTGCGAAGGCTCCACAGAGAAGAGCCAATGTTTGCCTTCCAGACGAGGGTTGTTGGCGCTGACCCAGGATGCTGCAAGACCGAGAACGAGGAGGGCTACTGCTCATGCTACGGCGATTGTTGGTGGTGCCTGACCATGAATTCGCGCAAGGCTACAAAGAAGAGCCAAGCGGAAGCATTCGTAACAAAGAATGGATGGGATTCAGTATGCGGGAGCTTCTCACGCTTCAGGGGAAATGGCGGGATTTTGATACTATCCAAGTGGCCAATGTTGCGTCGTCATGCCTATATTTTTTCTGCATCTGCGTACCCCCAGTCCCGATGCAATGCGGGGGCGGCTTTGGTTCAGGTGGAAAAGTGCGGCAAGGTATACAACATGCTTGCCATGCAGTTACAGCCTGGACCAAATAATAATGCTCTTCGCGTGGCGCAGGTGAAAGAGGTGATGGCATGGGCTAGAACTGGGATGGAGGATGCAGAGAAAGTGGAGTTCGCTTCATGCGATGTTGACGAAGCTTTCGCTTCACCGGGGGAAGGGAGTACTGGCACTGAAGGCTCCGTCGCCTCCAATGAATCCCCGAGCAAACCCGAAGGGTCGCCCACACAGAAGGAAGGACTGCCGGAACTCGAACTCAACAATGCTCCTGTGACCACAGAAACAGAACTGCCTAAAGCCAAACCCCACCGTCGGCGTGCCGAGCTCCCTAAGGGTATTTTAAAGGCCACAGATCCCCTCATCATTGGAGGAAACCTGAACTTCCGTTTCACAGCGGACCGTGCTTCACTAGCTGAAGCTTTGGGGTCTGATGGTTTCAACGCCAATTTAGCACTAGAAGATGCCTCGGTCGCACAGCCGAACTTCGACACGGTCAACAACGACACATGCTACCAGAGTAAGGCTTACACAGAAGCATGCATAGATGGGATATACACGTCCTTGCTTGCTATCGTCTCATGCTACAGTACACAACTGGGGGCTTGCCGTCTGTAGTTGCACGCCACTAGGTGTAAGCTTATCCCCTTCTATTCACGTCGCTGTAGTTTCCGCTCACCACTTGGAGCTTCGTCTATAGCTCAATGGATTTATGTGCGATCGATTCAGGCCAGGGATGTCCGGAAACTCCGAAACAAGAGCTTCTGGATTACTTGCTAATATACTCGGAGCACGCAGGTCGAGTTGCCCGTGGGCAAAGGACGCTTGTGGACCCTTCCCCAGCGAAGATCCCTTATCGCCCTATGGTGATGGGCTGTATACCTCGCACAACACTGGAGGTTAGTCATGTCAGTGACTTTTTCCCCGTGTGTGCCACATTTGCTCACAATTCTGAGTAACGGCTGGACAAGGTGACTCGCAAAGGCCAGCTGGCTTGCTCTCAAGAGCAGATACACTGGTACCACTGACAACGTCTTTCTCCGGACGGAGACAGTGCTTGCTAAAAGCGGCGTCGAAAAGCCTGGGAAGAGCTGAAGTGCTGTTGACTGACACCTGCTGCCCTCTAGCGAAAATCGCACGATATGAAACAAGAAGAGCGAAGACAGAGACAATTGGGCTTGAGTGGGTAGCTGGTGCGAAGTAAACGGGGACACACGCCAACTCGAAAGTGAACTGTGGCTGGCGGCGTTCCGTGGTTGTAATCTGCGATGTTCCCAGTGCATCCGTTTTTAACAGGGTGCCGCACCAAGGATTCGGTGACGTAACGTTGGTACAACTTACGCTTTGAGATGCTGCTGAATTGCTGTTCTCCAGCTCGAATACATCGCGTTTATATTCGCGCAAATGTGCTTCCGCAATTTACCGCACTGGCGGTGGCCGCCTTTTTAGTGGGAGTGTAGAGCCCTTTTATACTTTTTGGTGGCATTCTCCACAACCAGAGATTTTATTTTGTATATGATTTGCCTCGTTGGCTGGTTGATACTCAAGTTGATCATTCAGTTAGCATGCTCAAACTAGCACGCTTCAGCTGACTGATACCATACTAAAGCGTAGTTTCCATAGAACAAACTTTCGTTCTATAGTACTGCCGGAGTCTACGACATCTTCGACTCGATGCGATTACCCCCCTTGAGGGTTACGTTTGCGTCGTTCTGTGTTCAAGGTCCAATGCAGTGTGCAATATTGAAATGCAATGCGATAGTGGAGGATAGCGCGAAGGCATTCGCTTGCGCTTCGTACATTCTCTGGCCCTCATACTCGTGAGGCGCTCGACAGAACGCTTGACAAAACGAACGAAGGAACAGCTCCTCCTAAATAGTTTAAAGGATTTGCACTGTAACTTCGTAGATTGAGTTGATACGTAACGCTGCTTACACAGCTGCAGCAAGCATCAACAAGACAATTATAGAAGACAGCAAAACACAGTATTTGACGTTTCATATTACTTGACGACGTTCGGAAGGGTGTCATGCGATATACCCAACACCGAACAAAGAACAAAAGATCACTGCCATCCAGCAGCAGCCGGAAGCCCCTGGGACTGCACGAATCTCGCTCCTTCCTTTGCAGTGAGCGCCCTCGCGGAGACCATATACGAAGCAGGCTCTCCGTTCTCAAGCACCAGGGACCCAGTTGAACCTGTCGAAGCTTGTGCAGAAGCCGATGAACAATTGTGTCCGTACAGTGCGTTGCCCATATCCCCCTTCGTACTCCCACTGGTGTCTGTGAGTACTGAGCTTACGTTGGGCAACAGCTCCTGCGGTTCCGATATGCTCCCCGGGAAGTGTCGTCGATTCACAGAGTTGAAGCTGGAAGAATCTACGATGTTGGCTTGCGGGGGGATTGGTCGCGTGTGAATGTCCTTAAGGATATCCTCATCTCGCGCGTTCCACATGTTCAGCACCTCCATAGCAGACGGCCTAGCTGATGGATCCGGGTTTAGGCAACTTAAAATGATATTCCGTGCAATTCCCTGAATCTCTTCTGCGATATGGGGGACAAGTGTTCCAGCTATTGCCTTTGCCTTGAGCTTCTCATAAATGACACTGGGGCTGTCTCGACTGGATATGTGCACGTGCATAGGGTTGAAGAAGCCAAACATCTCCTGGAACACGCATCCCATTGACCAGATGTCCCATTTCTCGTTGAAAGGAGGTAACTGCACCCCTGAATTCGAGGCCAGGCATTCCACAGGGCTGCACCGCAGCAATTCTGCAGGGGCGTAGAACCATGTGGCCCCTGAAATACGAGATACACGTCCATCTGGAGATGCCTCTGCATCCCCAAAGTCGCAGAGCTGAATCGTCCAGTCATCCGATATGAGGACGTTTTCAGGTTTGATATCTCTGTGGACCACTACAGGTTTCCGTCCAGGAACAGGAATGTGAAGGTACGCGACAACGGCAGCGAGCTGGCGGCACATGTACAGCCCGTTCTGAGGCGAAATGAATCGCCGCACAAGGGGATCGCGTGAATACTTCCGCGAGTGAAGATCACTGCCGTTGACCAGTTCAGTAACTAGCCACACGTCAAACGGCCCGTGCACAATTCCCCCGACCAAACGAACCACGTTTGGATGCTGACACATGGTGAGGATTTCCCATTCATTCAGCGTACGCTCCACCACCCCAGCGGGGTCGGTGCTGAGCATGCTTTCCACAGGTACCTTAATGGCTACCTTGGCTCCCCGGTGAGTCCCGACAAAAACCTTTCCAAAGCTCCCCTCTTCAATCACTGAGTACTGCAGTTCACCTCCAGGCAACAATACCGAGTCGAAAGTAACACTGCTGCTCAGCAAGGAGGTAGGCCCTCTCTGCAGCTCGGCAAGAGTCTCCATCAAATCCCAAAACCTGTCCGTCCCGTAGACAGTCACCACCTCTGGGCGTTGAACGTCACTAAATTCCTGGGCCTCTTCTACGCTTTTTTGAATAGTTGTTTGCCCTGGTTTCACACGGGGCAAGATGCTTCTGCAGGTGTACCCGTCTGCAAAGCCAGGCTGCTGCACAGTCGAATTTGGCGCTTTCAACCCAGTGGGTGGCTGCATAGCACTTCCGCCACAGAAGGAAGTCTCTGCAGGTGAAAAGTCAGAAGATGGTTGAATGAATGAACAGCTCGTAGGTCCTGCGTTCTGTGCAGGTACCGCCTTTAAGTGGCGGGGCAGTGACCCATAAGGACTCCTGAGGGAATTCGCGCTCGGTATACAGTCAGGCTGCTGATTCTGCCGTTGCGAAGCAGAAGCCCAGTTCGTATTGGGGCTAACGCAGCGCAGCAATGAGCCCCCTAGGCCCCCAAGTGACTGTTGAAGAGGTCCCATGCCTAGACAGCTTCCTTGGCTTTGCTGTGCTCCCCCTTCCCAGTGTAATGCTGAAGGTCTCGTTTGGGATTGAAATGATGACCCCGTAAAGGACGTGAGAGCCTCTACAGGAGATTCCCCCTTAGCACCTCTGTCGTGTCTGTGGATAGTGGCGGGAGGAATGCTACAGGCGCTCTCAGGTTCTCTACCTGCCACCACTGAAGACGCACTCCCAAGAGGGAGCTGCCTGCCCGGGACGAATGAATGAGCAGACGGGAAGAGGAGAGGCTTTGGGGCTTTACTACGCTGAGGTGGAGCTCGCGCGGCCGGACTGCACAAGGCTGCCACAGCTGCAAGCTCAAATTTTGAAGGGGAGGAGGCAGAGGTCTGTTTCCCTGCGCGTCGAGTGCTGGTGGAAAGCACCTTTCCATTGCCGCCAGCATTTCTGTACGTCATTCGCGGGCGGCCGTCCCCATCAATGCGGAATATATGCAACTGCCTTTCAGATGCATCGGCAGATTCAGCGGACTCAAACACGCACGACGGTGCTGTAGCGGTTGGCTGAGAAGTGCACTGCATATTCAACGAGCTCCCCTCCCATAAATTTGGAACAGCAGAAGTGGAACCACTCACAGGAGGAGCCCACTCTCCAAACGCTAGCGGTGCCATCTGGCCCGGGGGAGGGATAGAGGCCCATCTCTTGTCTCGATTCAATACGGTCCAAAGCTCGTCATCAACGAACGAGCCGGCCATTCCCTATCAAATAAAAATATCCGGAGAAAAGCTTCTGTACGATGCACATCAAGTAGCCCACCTTGCGCATTATGGTGGCTGCAGGTCACTTTTAATGATTGGAAGTTCGCCGTTGCCTTCTTGACGGGTCCTAGCCAACCACTGAGCCACATGAAGCAATTTGCATATGGTGGTTCTGGAAGCCCCAATCGATACAGAGAGGGTGGAGCCTCACGTGTGTGAAGAAGATGAAGATAAGCAAGATTCGGTAACCACGCCGGTGATGGTTGTCGGTAGCCGAGACACGAGAAAAATGGTGACTGAAAGCATAAACATCGGGGCTAACTGTATCCTATAGGTGGAAAGCAGATGGGAGCAATGGAAAATTCAGAAAAAAGCCTTGGCGATGAACCCTTTGTCTGCACTCAACCGCAGAACCTGCTCCTCAAGCAACAAGGGTGACACGAAGAGAAACTAGCCGTCGCACCGAGCGAGAACGCGCGTTTTACGGAATCTCATAAGCAATTTGACTTCTTCATCCTGCAACTTTTGCAGCATGAATGCCAAAATATAGATGTCAACATGAAGTCGCTCAACACGATTGGTGCCCCTCCCGCAGGAGGCAGCGGCGGACCGCTCTGCTGCGCCGTCACTCTGCACACACGGGGCTGTCGACACCACAGCAATAAGAGTGGAATTTAAACTAGACAGTTTGACGTAGTTTTATTTATTATGTGATATTATTTACTTTACTCCCGAAGCGAGCGTGTGGACACCGGCTTTCAAGACCCAATAAACCGGTGGTCAAGGCCTGACCGCAACCAGACGGGACGAAATACTTGCCCATTCTAACCGAAACTTTTGCGACTGCTTCAAATAATATAGATAATTTTCTGCTTCTATTTTTCTCAAGTGCCTGGCACAATAAGAAGGCATCGAGGCAACTGCTGCGGCAGCCCGATGCCGAAGTGTCTCGGCTATATATTGAACGACCTTAGGAAAAAGAAAGTAAAGTAATGAAAGTTCTCCTTCTACTATGCTTCTGCGACAGTAGCTCACCCACTTTGGAATGTCTGTACTTGGTGAGCTAACTCAGAACGGATAAAACGGCTCAAGCTGTGCTCGCAGCCACTCATCTTCCTCCGCAGTAGCATGCCTGTCCATTGAAAACATTGCTCTGCACATTTGCCTCACCCGAAGTAAGTTAGCCAGGGCTGAGGCATTCAGTTTCCGAGTGCATATCGGGATGAGTCCGCGAATCGCATTCTGTTAGAGCGCCGAGCGCGTCAGAAGTGGCGAATCCAAACTTTCCTGCCACCATGAAAGCTACCAGCCCATCTCTTTCTTTGTTATAGCCCATGTTTATATCCTCCAAATGGGTGCTGATGCTAGCAGAGACCTATCCTTACTGCTTATACCCTTTATACGGCTTAACGTACAGCCCTCGTACGAATAACCCTCTGTTGACAAGTTTACGCGAACTCGTCTGCCTCCACTCAAATGTTGATGCTTTGATGAAATAAAACTCTGGCTCCTGCGTGTATTCAAACGCTGCATTTGTAATTATGATTCAACCATCATTCCATCACCTCTATTGGGTCTCTGGAACCGTTGTCCCTGGTGTGGTATGAGCCTCCAATTAGGTGGAGCGATCATCAGCCTGTACAGCTGTGGTGTTATTCCCAATACAGCTTCCAGCTGACGAACGCCGCCGGCATCGAAACCACATGCGCCTTGCGTAGAGGTAGTGCTCTGCAGCAACACCGTCAACGGCAGCTGATATCGTAGTTTGGGTTGTTCCGCGCATTCGGTGGGCACACGAAACATGAATAGTCGCCTAGCACCTGGCCCTCTAGCTTGGCAAGGAGACAGAGTGCTCGCAACATAGACAAACGGACGAGAATGAATGATTTCAGCTCAAGCCATCAAATAGAAGTTTATCTATACACATTGCCATAGAGACCCAAGGGGTTCAGACGATCGCAACCAGCTTCTGCAGGGTAGCCCAGGTCTCTCGAGAATTACAGAATATCTCTACTGCTGTCCTATTTATGTTTGTGACTACAATCGGACCCCTCGTTTTATTGGCGCTGCACTGAGGAGCCTTAAACAGCAGGGTAGTTGGCTCGTTAGCAAGCGGGCAGCTCCAACAAATACATAAAGCATACGGACAATGTCAGGGGTCCTGCGTGCTCCATCGTTTCGCTGGAACACTTACTTCTGTCTGTAACACACATTTTGCCTCCTGCAATGCTTTCCATGATAACAGCCCATCTTAGAACACCGCGCATGATCTGGAGTTCCTCCAGCCTATATGCTAACTGGAATGTAAACGGAATGCAACCGAACTTGCGATACATGCGGTTGCTGTGGTGCTTGGTAGTGCAATATATTCGGAATTCAAGGAGGCTGGGCGGATGTTGTACTTTGCAAATGAAGGCGGCATCTGTTCAGCGGGTTCTGTGAACGTGAAGAATTGCGCTCAGAGCCAAGCAAGCCTCGTGGTTCGCACCCCTGACGACAGTATGGCGAAGACTCACCACAAGGTCTACAGGTGGGACGCGTGCTACACATAAATAGAGACCATACAAGGAAGGAGTTGTGCTCAATGTTCATAGAAAATCAAAAAGAACAATGTTCTGAGGGCTACGGACAGCAGGACCCGCATCTAGCCCGCAACTGCGGCGGTGAGGCGCCTTCACCCTCCTAACAGGAAATTCCAGCTGGCGCTTGCGGCAGCTGAGCGGGATTCCACTCTCGTAATAAATTTTTTGTCAAAAGACAGTAACCCGTTAGAGTGGATTCTCGCTACCGGAGCTCCGCAATATATTTTTGTCAAGAGAGGGTGATGCGTTACACGCAGTATTTGGCTAACTAAAAACGAATTAGACTCATCTAATAGAGCCCGAAGAAATAATGCTTTATTGTGCTCACGCACTGCATCCAGGTAATGCACATGCACATACACGTGCATCAACCAGGAGCCCAGCCTCGTCTACACCGAAACCGTAAATCCTAAATTTACCACAAAACCCCCAATAAATTCAGAGTCTGAAACGATATACATTCACATATTCGGGGATATTTATACGAAACCGTTGCCGTTCTCACCTGAGCTACAACCTCTTACCAGCGGACGCTCGGTATCGATATTGGGGGGCAACGGTGAGGAGTGCGAGCAGCTTGTGAAATCCACCTAGAAATACCTCGAATATATTCAAAAGGTACGAGTTTATCCTTTTGTATACTTCAAAAACTGTGTGCAGTTCTTCGCTTTCTCTGTTCCGGTAGATCATGGTATCCTTCCACTCGTGGGGCTTTCGTTGCGGTCGATGGATTTCAGCTTCCCGGAATTTGTAATGATCGTAGAGAGCGCAGACTAAGTAATATTCCCCCTTTTCGGGGCTTTCTGGGTTCAGGCAAAATATGCATCGCGTTGCTGCTGCAGCTGCCTGCAGCCCAGACCATGGCGACTGCTGGCGTTGCTGCAGTCCGCCCGCTGCCGCTGTTTCTGAAATTTCAGAGGACGAGCCGTAGATTTCAAAGCCATTGCTCCACGAGATTCTCTAACAATAAGGCAGAGACGTGCCGCCGCCGGTCGAGCGACGCGCAACAAACTGTTCATATTGCATCGACATCCCTCGAGGAGTTTCAGCACTTTCAAGGCAAGCCCAGCAAAAAAAAAAAGTTTTCTTGTATATACCCGGTGATACAAGACCCACGCTGTTTGGCTCTCTACATAGGTGACCGTTGTTGCATGCGCGTCCACTCTTCAGGTTATACTGTATCTATGTTCGGTGCATAGAGAAACGCAACAGACACACAGCAGCAGTTATGCATGTTGCTGGCTTGAACACCCCTTTGTTTCGTTCTTTCACAGACTGTCCATCGTCACGCCCCACGCTACAGCTACAGAGGCGAGGAAAGGGAGAAGCTGCTCGACGGTTGCTGCCTCCTTGGATATTTGCTCACGAGATTCAGAATTTCGGCGCGTTGCAGACTCTGCAGCAGCAGGCAACCCTTGAGGCAGGAGCAGGTCGCGGTGTACGTACACCAGAGGGGAGCCTTCATCCTCTGGCTGTCAATGTAGTGGACAGTGAGACTGGTGATTTCTTGGGTTGTGCTCTCTTCCACTCTCGACCACTGATTGCAGCGCGCGTGCTGGAGGGCCTCTCTGCCTCTACGCCTTTAAACATAGACTATGTGAGGGAGAAGCTCAGCGAAGCAGCTGCGAGGAGACGTGGCTTGCCCCGAGATGCACTGCAGCCAGCAGCAGCAGCAGCAGCTGCAGCAGCAGCACCAGCTGCTGCTGCTGCTGCTTCTGCCGCTGCTGCAGATCGTGAGACGCAGATATGCAGCGGCTACTATCGCCTCATCAACGGGGAGAGTGATGGACTCCCAGGGGTTGTTGTTGATCTCTTCGGGAATGCAGTGTCTATACAGCAACTAACAAGAGGCAAGCAATGGCTACACACCCGCTACCAGCAGGCGCTTGTTGCGGGTATCTGTAGCTCTGCTTTTATATCTATGACTCTGTCTATATTTCTCTATCCATATATATATATATATATATATATATATATAAATATTTATATATCTATATCTGTATATATCTATATATGTATTTATACAGACGCAAATCTATATATATCTTCTACATCTGTATGTATATCTCCACATCTATACCTCCATAAATATAAGTATCATAGAATAAAGGTATTATTATACTATACACAAATCCACTTTGTGTTTTTTTTTTTTTTTTTTTTTTTTTTTTTTTTTTCAGGCAGCGAGCTGCTGACTGCTCCGCTCGTTGCAGCCATACAAGAGGCCCTGCGGCCTGCTGCTGTTGTGCTGCGAAACGATAGCTTGCTGCGGGAGCTGGAGAGAGATTTCTCTATGAGTTCATATTCCACTCTCATCAGTGGTGTGTTCTCTCCCTATACAATATGCAAACACTTGCATCTATACATGCATGCATGCATGCATGCATGCATGCATGTAGCTTGCATGCATGCTTGCATATTCGGTGGTTTGCTTCGCTCCATTCACAATCTTAACAGCCTACTCGCGTTGCTGCTGTTGCTGCTGTTGCTGCTGCTGCTGCTGCTGCTCCTGCCTGCCGTGCGTGCAGGGGAGCTGAACGGCTTGCAGTGGATTGAGGAGAGAGGCTGCTGCTTCCCTGTTGACCTTCTGAACAGCCCTGACACTGGTGGGTCTTTGCTGTGTCTGCTTTCTCTGTGTAGCTCGTTCGTCTGCTGCTGCCTCGAGCCACTGGTGGGGTTGATAGGGGGCCCCGCAGCAGCCAGAGCTGCAGCAGTGCAGCACGGCCGTCTACGGCTAGCTGCTCTTGGCTAGCTAGAGAAAACACCAGAGTCCTTTCAAATCACTGGGTACAGCTAGTTCTGCATACGACGAGACGCGAGCTGTTGTATGCATATCACTGGTAGTTTGTGGCTAGCTGTTTCCGTAGCTAGCTATCTATTCGTAGCTAGCTATATATTCGTAGCTAGCTGTCTATTCGTAGCTAGCTGTGCTGTTGATGACTCTGTACAGGCTGGTACTACGATAGGCGGGAGGCGCGGGCTGCTGTGGCGCAGCTGTCAGGAGGGGGGCGGATGCTGGATCTGCATTGCCACTCAGCAGGTACTTGCTTGCTTGCCTCATCTTCTCAGGGGTCTGCTGCTGGCTAGTTAGCTAGCTGGCTAGCTAGCTAGCTAGCTAGCTGCAGCGCGGAACCACCGATGTAGCTAGTAGCGCTGACCAGATAGAGGCTGCACCCGAGCTGCTGGCTGCCTTGGAGTTGCAACAGAGAGTTCCTGGATTGAAGCCGCTCGGTTCTTCAGCTGCATGCTGTGCTGCTGCTGTTTGTGCTGCTGCTGTTTGTGCTGCTGCTGTTTGTGCTGCTGCAGCCTTCAGCATTACCGCACTGCGGAGCGGGGCGGCACGTTGCTCTGTGTGTGTAGATCTGTCGAGCGACTCGCTGCAGCTGGCAGCAGCAGCAGCAGCAGCGAACGGCATGCAGCAGCAGCTGCTGCTGCAGCAAGCTGACGCACTGCAGTGGATGCTGAACAGGGTATACCAGCTGGCCCCGCATGCATCTCGCGCGGCTCCTAGCAGCTGCAGCGATGCAGCCGCTGCAGCAGCAGGTGGCGGCCTGCAGCAGCAAGCTGAGGCGGCCGTAGGTGCGTTGTGTTTCTGTTCTGTTCTCTGCTATTTATTGCTTTCTGTTTTTTCACTGCAGTATAATACAAATACAGAACACTCAACCCGTGTGTTCCTTATACACCTCACAGAGGAGGCAAACGATGCATGCAGCAGCACCTCAGGGGTGCTGTTGTTGTATACCCATGTATGTAGATAGCTGTTTATATATATATATATATATATATATATATATATATATATATATATATATATATATATATATA